CAGTGGTTCTCATGTTTTCTAGGCTAGAGGGTCCTTATTTTTATCATCCAGAAGTGACGTAGATTGCGTTGCTTGTGTGTGTGTGTGTGTGTGTGTGTGTGTGTAGGAGTGTATGCTTACGTATCTACCCTTACTAAAAACAGAGAATTTAAAGCTATTTTGAAATAATGATTATATATATGGTTATTTCTAAGTTGAAATAATTTCTATTATTAAACTCTGATGAATTTCTACCACTTCTTTACTCCTGATTTTTTCTTCCAAAAATACATACTGCATATTATATCATTAATTTGTAGGCATATGATTCTAATATAGTGGTTCTCAACTTGTGGTCACAACCCCTTTGAGGGTCGAACGACCCTTTCACAGGGGCCGCCTGATTCATAACAGCAGCAAAATTACAGTTATGAAGTAGCAACTAAAATAATTTTATGGTTGGGGGGTCACCACAACAGAAGGAACTTTATTAAAAGGTCGCGGCATTAGGAAGGTTGAAAACCACTGTTCTAATATAATGTAATAGATATTGCCCTGGAGGAAAATTAAATGTAGAAAGTGATAAATGTGAGTATTACTATTTCAAAATGGACAAATTCTGTGAAAGATAAATTTATTTCATTTCCTATATTTTGTAAATTTTATTAAACTCTGATTTTAGAGACGGCAGAGGCTGTCTGCTCCCCTAAAGATTCACAGAGTCTTCAAAATCCTATGTAGGGTCTCCATGAGTCAGGATGTACTCAATGACTGTGGGGTTTAAAACATGATGCTATTAAGTTGTATAGAAAATAACAAAATTCAACCTTTAATTTCTGTTACAGTGAGTATCAAAGAGCTTAAGAAATTTCATTTTGAGTCAATTCAGTCTAGTATTTTAAAATCTCTGACACTGATAAAAGCTTTATTGTGGAGTAGAAAGTTTGATGGTGTAGGCGTTGTCCATTGGACTGCTAACCTCAAGGTCAGCAGTTTGAAACCATCGCTGCTCTGCTAGAGAAAGATGAGGCTTTCTATTCCCATAAAGGGGTACAGTCTCAGAAACCCACAGCAGCAGTTGTATCCTGCCCTATAGGGTCGCCATGAGTGAGAATTGACTTGATGGTAGGGAGGTTTTTTGTTTTTAATATTATGGAGTATTCGAGTAATCTAAACCAAAACCCAGTGCCATCAAGTTGATTCTGACTCTTGATGATCCTATAGGACAGAGTAGAATTGCTTCCTAGGATTTATGAGACTGTAAGTCCTTTCAGGAGCAGAAAGCCTTATCTTATGGTTAGGAACCCAATGGCTAAACCAATACATCACCAGAGATCCTTAAAGTAATGTGCTTCAAAAACCTACTGCCATTGAGTTGATTTTGACTAATACACCATTTACTCTTCAATCATTATGGTGTATATCACCTACAAATTTGGCTTGTCTTTTTTCCTGAGTTGGAAAGTAGGGAAATTATTGAGCAACATAAGGGACCTTGCAAAAGTTCATGAGAGGTGAAATTGCAAAGCTGTGCTTGCTGTGGACTGATGGTGAGTGAAAGCTATGTCCAGAATTCTTTGTGTTCTGAATTTTGGATAGAAACATTGATATCCAGGTGTCTTTAGAAGGAGTTCTGGTGGTGCTCTGGTATAAGCCTTGACCTGCTAACCTAAAAGTTGGTGGTTCAAAGCTACCACATGAGCTGTAGGATTTACAGTTTCTGAAACCCTAGGCAGTTCTACATAGCCCTTCATATGTCACATTGGGTTGCTGAGTCAAAATCAACTTGATGGCAACTAACAGCAGTAACTCTGACTCAAAGACCCTATAGGACAGGGTGTCACTGCCCTTGTGGGTTTCTGAGACTGTAACTCTTTACAGAGTAAAAAGATCTATTCACTTTACTCTTTAATTTCCTAGCTGCCACATTTTTATAGTAACGCATATAGTGAAGAAATTAAATACTTTAGAATCAACCAAGCCTCGTTTCAGTTTGTTTCACCAGTGATTAACTTATTTGTAGTGAGCAAGTTTGTTAGTCTGTCTCAACTTTCTCATCTGTAAAGTAGGTTGAGTCATATGTATTTCACTGGGTTGATGTAGGATTTAGTTAAAATACAAATTCACGGCTCAGTATAGCATTTAGTAGATGCACAAAACCACAAGCCAAACTTGCTGCCATTGACTTGAGGCTGACTCATAGCAACCCTGTTGGACAGGGTAGAATTGCCCCCATGGGTTTCCGTTTTCGTAACTCTAGGTGTAGAAGCTTTGTCTCTCTCCCACCAAATAGATCTACAGTAAAGGTGAATTTCATCTTTCATTTTCCCTTGAAGAACTGACTTGATGGTATCTAATCACAGTAGAAGAATTAGGGTCTGCAGATGTCATTTATGATTGGTGTTTCTTAATGAGTTGATTTGTTTGAAGAAAAAATGTGGGGGGATTACAGGTGCTACATTCAATACTTCTTTAGTTATTGTTCTCAGAAACCAGTTTTCCTTTTCTATGTTTCAGCATATCCTGCTCCTCTAACAAGTATCAGAGGCCGCAAACCTCTTTTTGGAGAAATAGGACACACTATTATGAATTTACTTGTCGTGAGTAATTTAAATACTTTTATTAATACATATGTTTATACTGTCACCCAGATTGATTCAGCAGATATGACACATTTATATTTCCCTATTTTAATTTGGCATGTTGAAAGTTCATTTATAGTAAATCCTACTTTATTTAACATAAATGGGCTCTATTTTTGACAAATTGCTTTTCAGAATATAATAGCTTCTGAAAACGAAGTGCTTGCTGATCCTTCAGTATGGATTTCAATGCAATGCAAAAAATGAAAACAAGACAAACCCTCAAAACATGACCAGTAGACAATATCATGATTGATAAACAGAAACAGTTGAGCAACTAAGGACTTCATTTTGCTTGAATCCACAATTCATGTTCATAAAAGCAGTAGTCAGAAAGTCAAGAAGCATCCTGCACTGGGAAAACCTGCTGTTCAATACTTCTCTAAAGTGTTCGAGTAAGGATCTCCCTTTGAAAACTAAGGTGTGCCTGACCCAATGTAATTTGATTCAAGATCTGTATTTTCTTTGAGTGAGATGAACAGATACAATGCTAAAACAGGTTTCTTACAAAAATCAAATGCTCAGTAATATCACAGTAGCACATATTTGTGAAGTGGTGAACAGCTGTTGTGCACTTAATAAACCAAATAAATGCAAAACAAAAAAATATATATAACAGCTCCTAATTTATGTGCCACACCCTCAAAATAAGAAGACTCAATGAGTTGTGACTGCAACAATAAACTTAAACATTGTAACAATTGTGAGGATGGTACAGGACCAGGCAATGTTTTGTTCTGTTGTATTATAGGGCTGCTGTTTGTTGAAACCAACACAGTGGCACCTAACAACAACAGCAACAACAGCAATTTATGTGCACGAGAGCAGTAGTACTCCACAAGTAGAATTTTTACCTTCCCTGGGGAAGAGCTAGGTTCAATTCCTGGCCAGGTTATCTTAAATGTAGTCACAGCTAGTCAGCAAAGGCGTTATGTTGTTGCTATGATGCTAAATAGAGGTTTCAGTGGAGCTTCCAGATTAAGTTCGAAATGCTGTTGATCTACTTCTTAAAATCAGCTGATGAGCACTCTTATGAATCATAATACTTCAGCCCCACTGTGCATGATATTATCATGAGATGAGAGCTGACATGCAGTATTTATATGTTCCTGACTTTGATTGATTTTGGGTCCATTCTACTGCTGTTCTTGCATACTTATATAATGTGAGACTGCTACATAGTTGTTGAACTTTTAAAAAATACATTAATAAAAGTCAGTTTTGTGATTTTGAGAAAACTGCAGCTTTCTTTTCTTCATTTGTATTGGGATGGGTTGGATTACATTTAGTCTCTTCATTTGTATTGGGATGGGTTGGATTACAGAAATTAACCTCTGATTTCTGTAACTGTGTATTTACCTATTACCATAGCATTATGGATTGAATTATGATCCCCAAAATATGTGTGGTAAATCCTAGCCATTAAACCTGTGCTCATAATCCCATTTGAGAATAGCTTGCCTTTGTTATAATAATGAAGACGGATTAGTGTAGAGTGTATCTTTTTTCAGTCTCTCTTGGACTAGAAAAGAAGTTAGTCCGGGGAGCAGAGCAGAGTTTGGGGAAGAGAGGTCCCAAGACGTATGAAGATCACCCAAGAGGAAAAGCACAAAGAAATGAGAAAAAAAGGCCTTCCTCCAGAGGCATCAGAGAAAGAAAGCCTTCCCCTAGAGCTGGTACCTTGAATTTGTCCTTCTCGCTCCTAAGCTGTGAGAAGATCTTTCTTCCATTAAAGTCACCCATTTAGAGTGTCATGGACTGGATTGTGATCCCTCCCTCCCCCCAAATATATGCCAATTTAGCTGGGCCATGATTCTCAGTGATGTAATGATGATGTGATCAAGCATTCTTCTGTAAGGTTATTAGGGTGAAATGGAACACCCTTAGTCAGGTTACATCACTGGTCCTGTGCAAGGGGAATTTCTCTGGAGTATGGCCTGCATCATTTTTTATTTTAAAAGGGATAAAAGAAGAGGGAAAGTAGGACCTACTACCACCAAGAAAGAACCAGGAGTGGACCTGGCCCTTTGGACCTGTGTACCTGTGATGAGAACATCCTATAACCAGGGGAAGATTAATGCCAAGGCATATGGAAATCTTTATGGGGTACTAGACCCTGTGATACAGGAAGAGGTGAAAAGAGACAAGGACCTTCCCCCAGAGTTCCAGAGTTGACAGAGTAAGGAAACCTTTCACTAGAGCTGGCACCTTGACTTCAGACTAAAGTATGAAATCTATGGACAAAATAGTGAACCATGAAGAGTAGGGCATCAGGATTGGAGGAAACTTTATTAAAAACCTGTGATATGCAGATTACATTACCTTACTTGCTGAAAGCCAGAAAGACTTAAAAAGTATTTCTTAATGAAGATAAAAGACTACAGCCTTCAGTGTGGATTACAACTTAAAACCAAAATCCTCCCAACTGTGCCAATAGACAACATAGTGCTAAATATAGAAAAATATTTCTGTTAGCAATTTCATTTTATGAAGAGCTGATGCCAGGGACTTACGGGGAGAGCAAATATTTTGAGAATGATGAGGGCAATGAATGTAAAAATGTGCTTTACCCAATTGACGTATGTATGAATTGTGATAGGATTTGTATGTGCCTCTAATAAAATGATTTTTTTAAAAAAAGAATCCACCATCAGTGCTCATGGAAGTAGTTGTCAAGGAATCAGGCTATATTGCTTCAAGCAAGTCTGCCGACAAAGACCTCTTCTACGTGTTAAAAAGTAAAGACGTCACTTTGAGGCCTAAGATGGATGGCTTAGGGTGTGAAGTTTACAGAGACAATTTTATGAAGAAAATGGCTCATCTTTGCCACATGTACTATGAGAATGAAGACCATCCTCAGTATCCAGAGTGGACATTCCAGAGAATGTCGATTATTTCCCTGAAGAGGTGCACAGTTATTGTGAAGGGCCCCAGAGGAACCCTGTGGAGGAACTTCAGTCACATCAATGTTGAACTCAGTCTCCTTGGAAGAAAAACAAGAGCCTTCATGTTCACAAAGCGAGGGGAAATGGAAAGGAACTGGCTATTGTCTGTGGTCGTGTACAGAACATGAGCAAGGGTGTTACACTGTACTTCCCATACAAGACGAGGTCTGTGTATGCTCACTTCTGCCATCGATGTGGTGGTTCAGGAGAATCAATCTCTTGTTGAAATCCATAACTTCTTGGGTGAAAAGGACATCTGGAGGGTTTACATGAGGACAGGTGCTGCTTGTTCCATTTCTCAAGCCCAGAAAGATAAGAGTGAATTCTTGAAGGAAACAAGTTTGAACTTGTATCAAATTCAGCTGCTTTAGTTCAGCAAGCCATGACAGTTAAAAACAAAGATATCCAAAAAATTTGCTGTGATATCTATGTTTCTGAAAAGTAACGGTTTAGCAGGCTGATGATAAGATTTAAGAAGTGTTCAGCTCCACTCTAGAGAATTCCTTTAGACCTGTCTTTGAGGCTTTGATGCAATAAAATGTATGTCATAAAATAAGTAAATAAAATGGCTAATTTAGTAGAAGTGGATACGTTAACCAGTCCAGACAAGTTACAAATTCATGGGTCAGATGTTACAGGCTGTAGGCTTCTCCTGACTCGTGTAGCTGTGAGGGCTGATCAACCCAGTATTAGTAGGAAGATGACAGGCTAGTGGCTGCAGAGTTTAAGAAACCTAATGTTGACTGGTTAGATGGAAAGCTGATGATGACTTTATGATTGGCAGACAATAAGTCCAGAGCACCAGACGTCAATAAACCAGATACAGGATCTCCAGACCTAGGAAGAGCAGGCAAGCTTTTTTATAGTGCCCTCATATATTAAAGTAGGCCACTCCCCTGAGGAAATTTTTTTTCATTTGATCATATCAGGATTGTGATCTTAGTAAGAGTGTTACATCCCACCCTAATCTTAGAACTGACTGGATGGATGCTCATAACAGGCCCTGTTATGGAGTGATTGCATTATTCTAGATAACATCAGTGGGAACAAGGTCTTAACTGCCAAACCATTGAGAATCCTGGTCCAGCCAGTTGACACAAAACCTATCACAGTTCACCTGACCCGTCATGGTATTTTTAATTGCTTCCTGCATGTGAAACCAGGACAATGAATAAGGAACAGAAGAATTGATTCCTTTAATTAGTGGTGGTAGCAAGGAATATTAAATATACCATGAACTGCCAGGAGAATGAACAAAGCTGTCTTGGAAGAACAGACAGAATACTCCTTAAGATGGCAAAACATAGTCTCACATGCTTTGGTCATGTCAAAGGAGGGACCAGTCCCTAGAGGAGTATCTGAAGCTTGGTGGAAGATCAGTGAAAAAGGGAAAGATCCTCATTCAGATGAATTGACACATCAAGCACCATCACACAACACCTGAGGATGGTGCAGGCTCTGATGTACACAGAGTCGCTGGGAGTTGGAACTAAGCACCGTCACAACAGAGAATACATGTTTGTTTCTCAGTCACCCACTCATGGTTTTGGCAGCACTGGTAAATTAAGACATATAAAAAAGTATTCTGAGTAGACTCATTTTTGTTTATACATGTTTAGTTTGAATACTCTATTTTAGTAGATCTGTGTCTATAGGGAAAGAAACTTGGTAACTGTGGGCAAAACATTGGGTGATAACCTCAAAGTCAGTGGTTCAAATCCACCAGCTCCTCTTTGGGAGAAAGGTGAAGATATTTGCTTCTGTAAAGATTTACAGTCTCTCAAGCCTTATTAACATCAGTTGGATTTGACTTGATGGCAGTGGGTTTGGTTTGGGGGTTGTGTTTTTGTTTCTATTTTGTTTTGCTTTTGTAGCCATAAAGAGGTATTCACCTCCAAATACCAAGGCGCCCTTCTGAGACTGATAATCTCTGTAACTGATGTGGAGTAGCTAGAAGGATTAGTTGCTTTCCTTAAATTGATACTGGCATTGTGGATGGAACTTTCGTAGTAACCATCAGAACTTATAAACTGATGCCTTTTTTAAAAGCGTTCAATAAATGGGTAAATGTTCATGGATAGTAGTAGTTTAAAGTTCATGGAAATATGATTCTTTTATTCAGGACCTTCGAAATTACCAGTATACCTTGCATAATATAGATCATCTATTGATTCATATGGAAATGGGCAAAAGCTGCATAAAAATACCCCGGAAAAAATACAGTGATGTAAGTATAATTACTTCTTTGAATCTTGAAGATAGTTCTTAAACATCAAATGTCCTTATTAGAATTGCATCAAATTAAATGTTTTCTTTTTTTTTTTTTTAATCAGACTTTTTAATATGTACTGGAAAAATACCCACTGTTTTTTAAGTTTTGGAATTTATTTCCTAGTAAGGAATTAGTTTACAGTTTGTTTTTCATGTGTTTTTTTTCTTCACATTTTTCTTACTGTTTTATTGAAAACATTTTTATATATCATTCCAGGGAGTTATCCTGACTCAATTTTGATAATTATAAAGTTGATCAGGGATATGAATTATTACAACCAGTAAAGGCATATAATGTTGATAGAGTTTCTAAATGTGTGTTTTCCCTTCCAGGTAATGAAAGTCATAAATTCTTCTAATGAGCATGTTATTAGCATTGGAGCTAGTTTTAGTACAGAAGCAGATTCTCATCTAGTCTGTGTACAGAATGATGGCATTTATCAAACACAGGTCAACAGTGTACCTGGTCATCCTAAGAAAGGTGAGAGTTGTGGTTCTGAATGCTTATTCATGATGCCACTGTTATCAATATCTTTCCTATCAAAGGGGAAAAGTAAACAGTATATGGCATGTGTATGTGTTTATGTGTGTGTGCATCACATATATCCTATATATATGTGTGTGTGTGTGTGTATATATACATATATATATACACACACACATATATAAACTTGGCTGAATTGATAAGACAATTTATTTTAATATTTCCTATACACAAAAAGCAGATTAAACAAATGTATAGAATTGATATCATCAGGTCTACTGTATGCATAGGGTTTTGTCAGTTTCTTATCCACCTTTCCAGCAACATTTTTGTTTGTGAATTTTTGAAAATACGCAGGCACACATATTTTTTTGTTAACTCTTTAAAATAAGTCATAACATCTTTTTTATTCTGTTTTTTGCCTTGCTTTGTTTTTTTAGTTAACATGTCTTGTAGATTATTCTGGTAGGATGCCATGTTTCAGGAGTCCTGGTGGCGTCAGTGGTTTAAAACCACCAGTGACTTTTCAGGAGACAGGGCTTGGCAATCTGCTCCTATCAAGATTCTGGCCTAGGAAACCAGAAGGGGCAGTTCTCTTCTTGTCACATAGGGTTGCTGTGAGTTGGAATCCATTCTCCAGACCCCAACGGTGATAGTATATAAAGAACTTGTTCATTCCACTTAATTTTTCACTTCATAACAATTGGGAGATGTTGCAGGATCATCAGTGTTTCATTCTGTTGTTCATAGGGATGCTGAAGTCAGAGTTGACTGGTTGGTGCTTACTAAAACAACCTGTGTCTGTCATTTAATTGTCCATTATTAATTGTAAAAGGTATAATTGTTACCAACTCCTGAGAATTTATAAAGATACTACAGTGAATAAATTTGCATCTTGGCAATTTGCACATGTGTAGGATAAATTCCTAGAAGTGAAATTACTTCATCAAAGAATATGAGTTATATGTAGTTTTAATAAGTACGGTCAAGCTGTCCTTCATAGAGATTGTTCAGATTTGCATCATCCACAGTAGTGGATGCCTGCTTTCCCAGACTCTCACTGACGTGGGTTTCAGACATTCTAAGTAGTATAAATATTAAGTAAAAATGTTATCCCTTTGTAATATTACATCTTAATTTTGCTTCCTTTGCTTTTTGGTTAGCTTTCTAATGTTATTAGTATGTGCTTGGCATTTATTGCATATTTAAAATGTGCCATCCTCTCCATACAGTGTGTATTTAACAAACATAACATACAGTGGCAAGTTAAGATATAATGTGTCATAGGGTTTTATGCATAAGATATTTTGTATAGTTAGAGCACGTTCTTTTCCTTCATTAGAAAAAAGTAAAAGTTCTTAATGAGTATTGTGCTGTACAATATCACAAGAATCAAGTTTCCCATAAAAGATTAATTCTTTCTTTAATAGTGAAAGTATTTTTTTAAACTCTTGTGCTTTATAATGAAAATACAGAATATACCCTTTCCCTAGAAGGTTTTATTTGGTTTATTCATTTCTCAGAAGCAATATTTGGTTATGGAAATAACTGTGTGCCTGAAGCAGAATTATTTTTGTGACCCTTATATAAGCAGAGCTTTATGAGAGTCAGAATTGTCTGCAAATTTCTGCCCTGTGGACACCATGGTGGAAGTTAATCTGTTTTCATGTATTCTCTTTTTCATTCAGTGACAGGTGCAAGTTTTGTGGTGTTCAATGGAGCTCTAAAAACATCTTCAGGATTTCTTGCTAAGTCCAGTATAGTTGAAGGTATGAATTTTATGTTTAAGATTGCTTTATGGCAAATCTGTTTTGTATTACCTTAAAGATATATTTATTTGGTGCTTATAAAAAATGTTTTTGAAAAAAATTTTTTTGTAAGCTGTATCACAGATTTATGCAAAATTATCATCCAGCCCCAATGTTTGAATCTACTTATGCCTCCTTCCTTCTCTCCTCAAGAATTTAGTATTATTCTGAATACTATGTTTCTCGTTCTCATGCTTCTCATTGTGTATATTCGAGGAGGTACCCCCGCCAAAAAAACCCAGAATTACGCTGGGCGGAGCAGAGCTTTTTATAGTACACATTTTTCCCACTAGGCCAGCTTCCAGCAACTTCCTTTGAGTTAGTGCCCTCAGTGGCATCTCCTGGGAAAGTTCTCTCTGGTCACAGTGGATTTTTTCATTAAGAGCGGTTTTGCTTGAATCTCGTTTTTTTGATGGCTGATTTAAGAGAGCACCATATGGCTGTGAAATTTTGTTTCCTGTTTGGGAAAAATGCTGCAGAAACTGTTGTGATGTTGAACACAGCTTACAAGGACAGTGCTATGGGAAAAACACAAGTGTACAAGTGGTTTTCTCATTTCAAAAAATATGAAATGTCGATTGATGAAAAACCTTGTTCTGGATGTCCGTCAACTTCCCAAACAGACGAAAATGTCTACTCCGTGTATTTGGAGTTCGTTCCACCAGGTCAGACTGTTAATCAAGCTTTCTATTTAGAGGTTCTGAAAAGATTAAATAATGGTGTGAAAAAAAGGCCTGATTTGTGGCAGAGGGATAACTGATTTTGTCACCATAACTATGCACCTGCGCTCACAGCCATCTCAGTGTACCAGTTTTTGGCAGAAAACAGCATGCCTCTTCTTGCCCCTCTGACTTTACTCACCTGACCTCGCGCTTTGCAACTTCTTTTTGTTTCTGTGAGTGAAGAAGGACGTGAAAGGACAAATATTTGATGAAGTAAAAGAGGTGAATAAAAAACGAGGGTGGTGCTGTCAATCAGCCAAACAGATGAGTCTGAAAAATGTTCCCCCCAAAAAAAAAAAAAGAAAGAAAAATGTTCCCAAGAATGGAATCCAGATTTGACAGATGTATTAAGTGTAATGGAGAGTATTTTGAAAGTGATAAGGTTATTTTGTTTTAAAAATTTAAATACATAGTTTTGAAAAAAATTCCATTTTGGGGGGGTACCCCCTTGTATGTATGTCAAAACAAACATTGTTTATGCATATTTTCATTATTAATAAAATATATTATTGTTCATATTAGCATAGGTCATATTTTTATTCAAT